TTGTAAGTGATTAATCACGACTCCGTCACTCGATATCCGCATTGTTTAGTGAGTGTCTATAGTTCATGTGGCATTTGGCTTTAACTGTTATCCATCAAGCTTTCGGAAAAAGTTGTTTGTACACTTGATGTAGTATAATGATATGTGCATGTGCAAATTACCAATATCTATGATCCTGTTTGTAGTTCTCATTGACGATAGAAAACGTAACTTTAATTTTTGTGAACTATATCGCCACCCAATTTCACACCAATAATTTGTTGGATTGATTGCCTCTTAATTTCTTACGAACATAATAGCCCAGAAATGCTGGTCATATCCAATGTCTACCGTCTGTTCGCGTATATCATTATCATACAACGAAATACAGTGAAGAGAACTTTACTGATCCCTGCCAACGACCAAGGTTACATTGTCGACATTGTCTTTATATTGAAAAAATATTGAAAATCGATTTTCATAGCTCGGGTGTTCTAAATTCCATTTCGTCTGTTCTCCGAGCTTAGCAATTTGTTAGCAAACTTTTCATCACCAACCGAGGTGACATTGCTAGTGCTTATGGATTGGCAGTGTTCTTTTACCAACGCATATGTGTTTTCGCATCCCAAAGTATATATCTGTGTAGCTGCATGTCCGATTCAACTGGCTTTCATATCCCGTTGAACTCTATCTACCTTGGTAAAAATCATCCAACGTAAATAATCATTTAGTTGCATTATTGAAAGGTACTCTGTGGTTGCTCAGTGTTTTATGTCTATAGTGTTTGTGCTTGACGTTAGTTCTTGAATGCAGTTTGCACATGGGTTCTTACTGTGTACCTTGGATAAATAAAAGCTGTGGTGTATTGAGCACTCAATCTTTGGGTGGCGTGTGTACGACGCTTTGTTGCGATTGTTTGGAGATAATATCTCATCTGAAACTTTCGCACATCTCAGCCATACATCATTTTTGATATGTGATGCTACATGGAAGAACGTCTTGTCAATTTGTTACCTTTTTTTATACAATTAGCAGTCAATTGTGTCTGCGTTTTTTTCACTCTCTACCTCAATCCTAGTTATCACAGATGCATACAGCAATGCTCTTGGACGGTCTACATGTGTGTGATCACACAGCCTCGATTCCCACCACCAATTTTCTATTCTTTAATTGTTTTCAGGGTATCGATCACATCCTGTTCGGGTTTAACAGCCTGGTGTTCAAATTGCTCCAGCAATCGTGTAACGCACTGGAAGCCTATGTGGAATTTTTGCGGCAACTACCCGAACACTCAGGACCGGTGCGTGCTCAGGTCCCGCCGGACGGAACGGTGCACGAACTCACCACGAATGTGAGTGATAAGGCTTGTCTCAGATTATCTCTGGACCTATCTGCAATTAGCTCTTTCTAGTTTTATATTACGGTGAATAATTGTGACGACCGCCTCAACTGATTGGCCCATTCGTTATCTTCATCATACAAAGAAAGCGATGCCTCGTCTGAAATTAGCTGAGGTTACTGTGAATTCGCGCTGCTTATACGGTCCCTGTGCGCACAATCAGCACGTTGATCTAGCGTTGTCGAACTGCACCACTTTGTTAGTGGTCAACACCACCCCCCGGAATTTGAGGTTCGACACCCTGAGTTGGTACACTGCATGGTCGTTTACGCGTGTTACTTTCTGTGGTATACCATGCGTATGGAACTACATGAGTTAATTTTGAAATCATATACCCAATACATTAACTTCTCATCTTTTCACTGATTGAATTTTTTCATTTTTTTTATCAGATTGTTCTCTAATGACTGTTCACGGAAATTATACCAGTCTTCTACTACTTATTTTACTCATTGAATATAAAATAAATAGTACTGCCGATTGTCCCATCACGACGAGACTGCATTTTGGCGTGGTGTGATGGCATGCGCCCCTCAATGACCATACAGGATGGCTGATCAGCCGCAGATCCAATCGTACCTGGAAGGTTGAAGGATAGAGGCCAGACGAAGATCAGTCTCACAAGGCCAGCTGTTTGGGCACCTCCTGGCTTCCTTTTCTATCCACACCCGTCCCTAGAGAGGTCACTCCAGTAAATACGCACGATGACGGGCAGTTTTCCGGTCAAAAAACCCCGCTAGATAGACGTAGGAGCGGGGTACCTGGGGCTTCCTCTCGACGGTGTGAGAAATCTTCGCACTTCATTGAACAGCTACCGCCCACCCAAGCTGGACAGCCTCCAGTCAATAAGGTGCTGTCCCGTCCACGTTCCGCTTGTTTCATTGGATGCATGAAGTTGAGGGCTGATCCCGAAAAGCGGACCGACAATCAACGCACCAGCGAACAACAAACTTAACCGAAATTCAAAGGCCCTGCGTGACAGGTCTCCAGAAGCTCCCACACGGGTGCTTCGTTCACGCTCCCGCGTTGGATTTACGCCCCACTGCCTTGTGGGTCAGACTTTTGATTTAAAGGCTCCGGTTAGGGTTCCCAAAGAAAACCCCCTTCGTCGGTGTAGGTTAACGCGAAGTATGCCGTGCCCTAAAGTCTTGGGTATCCATTTGGAAAACAGTCTTTCCCATCTGTCTAGTCCTTCTTCTCAATCCCGAATATTCCCAGGTGCCTCCTGCTTACGAGACCCATCGCATATCACTCAGCGCTCAACTAATAAGGTCAACCACTCAGAGGCTATCAGATTTTTGAAACCAAAATCTCCTTTCCACTTAGCCGCACTCAATGTCCGCACACTCTACCAGATCGGTC